ATAAATTCGCAGACATAAATAATATATAACAGGAATAGACATTTCCAATAAAACTTAACCGTAGGTCTTCAAGACTTTACATGTTTCGACTCTTGGATTGAATCTTCTTCAGAAGTACAATTAAAAAACGTAGTGAGGACATCAGAATCATTGGTGTAAAATAAATTAAAAGATGAATCCATTTTTAGGGCAAGAAATCTGTCTAAACGTTGGTAGATCGATAGTAAATCTATGGAAGAATAATTAAATAAATCAATAAGTTATTAATATATAAATTGAGAAAAAAAAAATGATGAAACTTGTGAAAGCTTTCAGGAATATTACAAGTCTATGGTAATCTATGACACAAATTTAGCCCGAAGAAGTCAGAAATAGGAATCGTTTCTGAGCATTGCGTATTTTCTTTAAAAAAAGAAAAAGGATTTTTTTCTCAAAGTAATTTGCTTTAAGAGAAATTAATGGTAAAAATCGGATGTGATTATCTAAACGACACTTTGCTCGGAACACGCGACAGCACATATTACTTCTACTTAAAAGTAACCGTCTTCTTTAAGATTCGACGCAATTCTCGCGAGTAGCAATGCAACTTTTCAGCGCATAGTAGCGTACATTTGTGAAATAAAATCTGAGATGTCACTCTTATATCTTCTCGTGTTAATAAAATTGAAGACAGTTTGCCACATAGATGCAGACACTTTCTGCTACGTTTTCCACGCGAACGTTTCACTGCCAGCTTCGATCGAAATATTCACACAATCCGTGAAAATATATATGTCGACGCGTATCCATTCGTGCGCACGATACGTGATTTCGTCTACTTCGTGTGGAATATCTCATTTATAACAGTATGAAAATGCATGCCAATACTCTGTGCTGTTTACTTCGCCAATGTGAGTGAAGATAATTATAAGTACTGCGTACAAGAGATAATTTAACAAACACCGTTACAAAAAGTAATAATTGTTCATCTAATTTATACTTGCCATTTTTCAAAGAAGCGTTTTTTATACGTAAATTTAAATTTAAAAGCAAGTTATTCTATTTATCTTTTTTCTTCTACAATGTTCCAAGAGACTGCTACATAAAAGTTTTTACGCTATACTTCGTATTACATCGAATAACAGTACTATTTCTAAATACGATTTAAGAAAATGTGTTCTTAGAAAATGAGTGTTGACTTTTAACACGATATAGGTAAACATAAATTAACATTTTTCAGTAATTCACAAACAAATATATGATCAAAAAGAACGATTATTAGATTTTTTTGTTATTAACCTTCGGATGGAGGTTTGGGGAGAGAGTGTCTTCTACCGCTCCTCGCAGTACTTTGACACAAGATTATTAGATTAATATAGTGTAATATCGCATGCGATTGAATGTAAAAACATCTTATTCAGCTTGCTTCAAGTTTTCCGAGGTGGCAACACTTAAAAAAAAAAGCGACAGACAATATATGATAAATGATTAAAGAGTTTACCTATATCGTGTACATAAATTTGTCGAAACAATAAAATACACTATTAAATATTCTGAGAACAGCTATAATATTGAACGCGAAAAGACAGTAAAATCATGGCAGAAATCAGTCGCCGGGTGAAAGATAAAATTTTAGTGGAGCATCATTTAACCAAATCTTGTTTGCGAAACGATTCAAAATCAAGAGTCAACAGAATAAATCTTTGATGCGATCTAATTTTGTGGGAAGATCCCATTTCATCTTTGAAACGGTAGAAGCTCTATCATCACAAAGTCGTGTTTCCAAAGTTATTTTCTTGACTATTACGAAGAATATTCACACAGTAGAGATCGATAGTATATATGTTAGATATTCTAGACAAATCTGGAAATTTCGGAAAAATTTATATATTTAAGTGAAAACTCATAATCAATTTATTATTCAATTCTTTCACTACGGAAACATTCAGCGTAAATGACGGAACTGTCGCTCCAATGACTACAGACTTCTTCCTTCAGCATAAAATTAATATAATAATCCATTTGTTAGATTAATTCGATTAAATCGAAGATGTGACTGCTCTAATATTTTAGATAATAACAAAAAATTCAGCAAAATTATGGTATTTATTGTAAACGGGAAGTAACATGGAAAGAACGTTTTTGTTAAAGTATCTAAAAATCAGGGTTGGGTAAGTTAATGTTTTTTTTTAACTGAATAAAGTTAAAGTTAATGGCTTTACAAAATTAATAAAGTTAAGTTAAAAGTTGAGTTGAAGGAATAAAAAATTAACTTAACGTAAGTTAAGTCAATATTGAATTAACTCAAGTTGAATTAGTTGAAAAAAAAGTTAATTTTGAAAAAAATTATTTTTTAGATCAAAATATCCTAATTTTTCTTAAAATGAGATTAAATAATTACAATATAGATTATTAAGTAAATTAAATTTTTAATTTTTTTATTCACATGTGATATAAGTATATAACACATAACGATATAACTATAAAGTTATATAACTTTAAAAGAACAGCCAGCACATAGAAAAGATACAAGAGTGATTACATTTTTAAGAATTACATTTTAAGTTAAAAATAAACTATCAATAAAAATACAACGTATCGATAATGACAAAATATTAAATAATAACAAAACTCATAGTTCCTCAGAATCACATACATAGCATAAGACATTCCTTGAGATTTAGACTATGTTCGGACTATGGATTTCGACCTTAGTCTTATTATATCTTATTATTTTTCTAAGATATTTAAAAGAGATAAAAAAATTTTTTAACTTAAAAAAAAAGAGTTAAAAAGTCAACGTTTAAAAGTAACTTAGTTCAGTTAAAATTTAATGTATTTAAAATTAACTAAGTTAAGTTAAAAGTTATTAACTTTTTTTTAACTTTTAACGTTTTAACTAGTTACTATCCAACCCTGCTAAAAATTTAGTTCGATACAGATCTGAAAATAGTTGGACTACCAAAATTATTATGTAGGACACTCAAGATGAGGTTGCAAAATATTTTTTATAGGTTCGCACATTCTCAAATTGAATCTCCTACTTATTTTAATGATCCAACAAAATTATTTCCAAATCTATTATATTTAAATAAGGAATATTTTAGCAAATTATTTTTTCACGTGCAAATTCTTTTCATTTTACACGTATAATAAAGTAGAACGGTTCGATCTATTTGAATATACCTTCAGGCTGTACAACAATTCAAACAATTAACATTCGTTGGATTTGTTTCAAAAATTCAGAACATAAATAAATTAAAATTTCATCAAAATATATCCTATTAGCGAAATGTGAAGCATTTTAGGACGCATGTAAAAAAGGGACCTCACCAAGCAGATAGTGCCGTATCCATTTTTTCTTAGGCGGGGGTGGCGTCCAATCGGTACTGTGTCGCGGCGGTTCACCACCGTTGACGCAATCGATGATACCGACAATCCGTGTCGACGGTGGATTATTCGCATCCGTCAGCCCGCTCACGTTGTTATTCGTCTCGGCGACGACGGTGTTTAGACTCGCGCGCGATTGCATTATCGGCGACGTAATACCATCTGGCAGCAGGAGAACACCCATCTTCCTTGTAAATCGCGCGGATTGAAACTTCCGTTTTAAGCTGCTCTTCGCTTAAGCTTTCACTCTTTCAAGCGGGGAAAATCGATCGACCGGATGCTATATCCGCCTCTTCGTCGCTATCGCAAACATCGATGTCGTCATCGATGTCGTCGTCGTCGTCGCCGCAAATCGTTCAATTTTGCGACAGCCGACAATGTTGCCACTGCCCCGCACCGAGCGAGTCCGTCCAGGATGTGGACGAGAAGGTCGCGTGGAGAAACTGTCACGGAAATGTGAAACGCACGACGTGGAGAGAGGTCCGACGACGTCGCGGTACCGCGGTGGTAACGGTGACGGTTATGATTACGACGACGACCGCGACGGAGAAGGGAGGATACAACGAGGGCTAACAAAGTTGTCGGCGTGCTAGGAAAAATCCAAACTTTCGAAACGCGGAACAGCGAGTCCGCTCGAGCGATTTCGAGGGTCGCATCGCTGCTCGTCCACCTCATTCCTCGGGGGCGATCCTCGAAAGTACATCTCTCAACGCGAATTCCTCGGTGAAAATTGCGCCCATGTTCGATATGGTTGCGTCATTCATTTATTCATTCTTGTACGCGTTACAAACGAAACGTGGGACATTCGACAAGGGATTTGCAATTTGCGGAAGAAGAATCACGTTGATAGCGCAGAACGAGCACTTATCGATCTCGCACTTGTTTTTTATCGCTGCCTGCACTCGTGACTCCACGAATCGCAATTGACAACCCATGCCGTGTACATCATCGTTCTAACGCGATACGCCTGTATCTCCACGCACGCCAGTCAGCTGTTCCCGGAACTCCGTTCCGGGTTCGGCGATCGCGACCAGTCGATCGCGGCGATCGAGTAAAACTCGTACCGCGCGTGAGTCGCGGGCACCGACTGAAACCTAAACTTGCGTGCCGCCGCCTCCAGCCCGAGGATGACGTCCTCGTGCCTCCCTTCTCGTGCCAGACAGCGACGGTGGCGGTGGCAGCGGCGACGGCGACCCCCCCCCCCCTCTCCCCCCCTCCTATCCCTTCCGCGACAGTGACATCCCCGTCTTCGCAAGAATTGCCTCCAGTCACCACTCGGTGCGCGATCACTCTATCCTTATCGCGCGAAGGACTTGTTCCGCGACGACGTGACACGTTGGCACTCGAGATAACTCCGAACCCGTTGCGCACGTTCTATCTAGGGCACTGCAGCGATCTCCATGCACACACATGCAAACAGTGTCGGATTTAGCTACAGGCACGTGCCTCCATATGATTTTTCTCTGTCATACTTTCTTAAGACTGTTTCTCAACAAAACATCTGATGCATATAAATCGCATTACGTTACTTTTTACGCAGTGTCACAATATCAATCAACTTCCTTTACTTTTGGTTTAACGATACAGTTAATAACAATTAATTAATAACAATGCGAGAGCTATATACTCACCATCGATTATCAGCATCTTTTCTTCACAAAAGAGATCATCCGACTCTGTGCGTTCTCTTTTGCATTTGGCACCTGAGAACATAGAAATCGTTTATTCGTTACGTTATTATTTTATAAATAAAATAATATAAAATAATTTAAAAATTATAAAGACATACGAGAGGCATGTGCATTGCTCGCAAATTAAATAAAAAACTATGAACATATAGATCTGCTATTCAAACCTAATGAAGAAATGAAGCAAGATAAAGAGATGGCTGTTAATTTCAAGTCAAAGTTTATTCTTTACTGCGTAAAAAGTTATTTTTTCCCTCTCCGATGATAAGAGCGTTAATGCGATTACACGCACAAGCGTAGAGGGCGCATCTTCTCGCACGCACTTCTATGTATATCTCGTCTCCCTATCTATGCCAGATTTTCGCGAAAGCATTTCACGTCATAAAGGCGCGACTGGTGAATCCACAGGTCGATAAGGTATGAAAAATTGAAAGAAGCGCGTCTCCACGTGCTAGACTGGGGGTAGGCGAGGAGAATCCCCCCCCCCTCCCCTCCCCTAGAAAGGTCCGGACGCGATGGGTGGGAGTTGGAATCGAGTGGTGGGGGTCGTACAAGCGTGTAACAAGCATAAAGGTGGGGAGATACTCGAACTTGCCGGAGCAGCTCCACGACCGCAAAAGAACCGGCAACGTTGCAGATTGATCAGGACGCCACGCGGCCGTCACCGTAAGGTGGGGATTTAGCCGGGGACGACGCGCATGCGTATTTCAGCAGCCAATTTATCCGCGTGTTCACCGGTCGTTGCTGACTGCACTTCTATACTTTCCTTCTATCACTCACTGTCTCAAACTACATAACACCCATACATGATAAAGAATATATTCTTAAAAAGAAAAGTTTTTGAGTTATTTATATAGTTGCAGTTTATGCCGGCTATACTTAGCGCGCGAAAAAAAAAAAAAATAAATTCTATTAGTAACCTTTACTCTATCTGTTGATTATATCGATATAATCAAAACTGTAAAACGAAAAAGCGATCTCAAAAAGTTTAAAAAACATTTTAACGTGATAAATTTTTGGAATTATGTAAGCGTTTCACAATTGGCCAGTACACATCATATGTGTAATAATAAAAGAATTAAAAAACTGAGAAATCTGTGGAAGGATTTAATCGCACGTTTCTCATTAGACAAATAAATGGAACGAACTGAGGGTGACGCCGGAAATGATATAATTTCTCTCTCATAAACAGTGTTCGCATAGCTCGGTGTAAAATATGGGGGAAGACAGTCGCATTACGACGTTATAAAGTGGAGCTGCATCCTTCTGCCGCGTGCACGATAGATGGTCTTAAATGGTCGTTTAACACACGTTGCCTGTTACATCAGGTATAATCACGCACGCGCACCAGGATAACAGACCGGATGCGTGAAGATAGAGAGCAAATTACGCCCGCGGCGTTTAAACCATCCGCTTCGCGAATAAAGTTTCGCGCGCGACACTCGAAATTTTTCCATATCGAAGCAATCTTACTAATTAAATTGTACACATACAATAGAGAGTGAAAACGTATTCGTTTGTAAAATTCGTTCATTATACTTTATTGGTCAACTTTAATACACAGATAATTCCTCCCAGCACGTCTACACAATATTATTGAAAGATTAAAAAAACAGATGGAGAGAGAGAGGGAGGGAGGGGGGGGGAGAGAGAGAGAGAGAGCATATATCAGCTGCGCGAACGAATAGATGGCGCGCTCATGAATGAAGCGCGAGTGGCCACCGCACCGTGTAGTTTCAGAGTCAGTGACCGGATCGTCCCCCCTACCCTTCTTTTCCTCGTGTAGCGACTGAACACGCGCGATATCCAGGTTTACCACCACCATTACCCATTACTACCACTACCCTCTACCGTTGCATCTCACCTCTACGGTCACCATCGGTGTTCTCCCTTCTCCCGCCCCAAGTTTTGCGCCGCTTTACCTTTCCCTCCCTACATACCCGTGACGATTCGACCTCGTCGGATACCTCCAGCACTTCTCCTTCCCCCCTATCTGAGTCGCCCGACTGCCCCGCCCCGCCTCCCAACCCCTCTCTCTCCTCTCCCACTTTGTCTCACTCTGCATGCAAGTGGTTCGAACACGCGCGCACGTAGATTCCGCCACAAGCAAAAAGATGCGAAGCGCATGGCGAAGAGTCAGTCGAATATATTTTGCACTTCTTCGTCCTGTTCCCTTTTCCGCCCCCTCCCTTCGAACGAGCAAACCTAAAGCTTGCTCTCCCCTCTTACGTATATCTCGTTTTCTTTGTCTCCCCTCGTAACCCCTGTAAATACTCACCTTTATTCACAATGGACTTTCGCGCGTGTCTAGCTACGAGAAAGGGAAAATTCCATCGTCCTCGGTGCTTTCGAGAGGGAGACGTGTATTAAGCTCGGCTTACTAACAACCACGTCTGGTAATGCGGTATTAACGGTTGGAAAAACGCACGATAGTACTTGCGATACTATTATCACTACAGAACATTTTTCTTGTTTTCAGATTGCTTTGTATATTTTTCAAGAAATCTTGAAGTTATCGCAAAGTTAACGATATCTGCGATAAAGAGAAAAAAGGCAAACAGGAAAAGAGAGAGAGAGAGAGAGAGAGCCAGTGATGATTTAATTGCCATCGCGTTTCATGTAGCTTTTCTCACGAGTACTTGTCAAAGAAGTGGCATATTAACTTGGGAGAATCAGAGGGACTGTAAGGATTCGATAAGATTCTTGTGGACTTCGTGAACGCACAGGAATGGTCGACAAGTGAATAGGCTATATCTGCGAACGAAATTAGCACCAATCGCACAAAAGTATTGATATACAATACTACTTTTTCATTTTAAAATAATAAGTGATAGGGAACACCTCTAGAAACGGAGCCAATGCAAGGCCAAGGTAGGTCGGCGCTCGTTTCAAAGCACATCGTCTGACGTCTTAGGTTCGTCTTCGTTACTTTCTCTCCATGTTCGTCACGGTTGAGAAACACTGCCACGAGGTAAATCATACCTAATTTGGAGACGGTGAACGCGTGGTCATCGCACGCAACTGCGCGTGCCAGTGCTTCTCACTCGAAACAGACGTGATTGTCAACGCATGGTTATTGTTTTATAGATAGCAGATTTATATGTGTAGAGAGAAGGAGAAAAAGGCGATATATCTATCATTTCCTTTAATAGGACTGCCTACTCTCTCACCGAATATCTCGCAATAAATCTATTTATATTATTAACTGAATATTTGGAGCAAATATAATTATTTATATATCTTTCTCCGAGGATTGTTTGAATCGTACATGCGAAAAATTTATCGTTTCAAAAAAATGACTTACATTTATGTATCTGTTCTAATTCCGGAAAGGCAAAATGTTATCATTCCAAAAAAAAAAAAAAGATTATTTATTATAGATATATCTATCGATCGCAGTTTCGCAGTAATATATAATTCCTCGTATCGATATCGTCGATTTCTCTATCTAATCTAATCAAAGAGAAGCAAGGGCAGAATCTTATCTTCCACATTGTGACTCTTATTCACAGATCTGATAAAGGGTATACGCTTGGTGTATGTTTAGCGCAAACATAACTTTAATCGGACAACATCGCTGGAGTGCATTTCGTTTATATTTATTACTTCTGAAGCCTCTCCGTCTTATCATCGGAGGAAGATAAAGATAATATCTTACAGACACAACAAATGCGCTTTGCATATTCGTTCATTTTAGCAAGTTAAATCTCGTCGCATGATGACTCAATCGATATTTTTGCGTCTCGAGAAAGGGACGTAATTGTTATCAGCAGATTACTACTCACTACAGCCACGAGACTACTGCCACGGTACATAAAAATACATGTGTAAGCAATTGTCGCGTTTGATAATGCAATGGCGCAGCAAAATCGCGTAAGGCATTTACTCGCCGTTATCTATCGTTTGCGAAAAAAAAAGCGTAAGACAGTTTAAAGACAGCGCATTCGCTCGTGCACAGATTTGATATTTGCACAATGACAGCTATGTACGCGTAAACACGTTGATACTTTTTACTTCTAAGAGTGGGACTAGCATTTGAATAACAAAACAATTGTAATGTTTAACTTCGCTGATGCTTCAGTCTAAAATGATAGCGGAAGAAATTCAATTATGAAGAATGTGTTTTCATGAAACACTTGTCATTCATGCCGTCAACGACACGGCAATGAATGCGTTAAAGAAAAGAGTGTTGAACAAATGATGACTTTTGCGATTGTAAAACTCAACGCAATGCCATCGCCGCGTCTGTGATCGTAATAACGCATAAAAGCGTAAAAGGTCGCCGGAGAAGCAGCGCGTGGTACTCACCACGTGGCTCGCTGGAGGCATAAGTATGATTGGAGTGGGTCGGCGCAGGCGCAAACGAGTGCTGATCGCAGGAGGAGGAGGAGGACGAGGTACTCGCCAGGCGCTCCCGCTTCTTCTCTTCCTGTTCGACATAGTAGGCCGCTTGCAGTAACGTTTCCAGGCTCATCCTGCGGCCGGTCTGTTGCTGCCCTATGGATGTAGAGGGAAGGAGAACGCGTTGGTGATGATGGCGGCGATGCTGTTGCTGTTCCGCCGAGTCTCTATATTCGTCAACACCCGCCGTGTGATCGTTCTGGCTCCGCCGCATCGAACCGCCGGCGTCGCGGCAGCCACAGGCACCGACGCCGCAGCCGTCGTTGGTTCCGGACGCCGGCGATGAATCGGCAGGAGCAAGCCCAACCCCCTGCCCTCGCCCCTCCTCCTTCGCTGTTGCCGCTGCTGCGTGCGGAAAAAAGCGACACGTTAATTATATGCATCTCTCGATAAAAGTAATCTTTTTTTTTTTTTTCAACGACACGCATTAAAAGTTTTCTTAGGAAATGTGATTGTTGAGGGTGTCGGCGGCGGGCGTGATAACTTTTCGGAGTAAAGACGTAGAAGAAAGAAAAGAGAGAGAGAGAGAGAGAGATTACCATCGCGCATCTCTATCGCAATTCGAGAGGAAAATAAAGGGAATCTCGATTTACTTCGTCTTGTTTAGAGAGTGATTTTGTATCGCTCGCTAAAAGAAATACTGTGCATGTTAGATGCCGTTATCGAACTCATCTAGACGAGAGTGTCGTGGACGTCGCGGACACGGACCGGTGTGCCTACGACGTACGTCACGTAACGTACAACGCGTGACGTAACGTAGTCTCGCGCGCGGGAAGCCTTTCCATCCCCCACCCCCGGCCACCCACTCACGTCGCTCTTGCAACAGCGCATCAGACGGAGCGCGCCACGCAGGCGCGTCGCGGCTGGCTCTTTTTTCCTGCAGCGCAGAACGACAGCACGTATCTGCACGTATATCCCAAGCTCGCTGGAACCGAGCGGACTGCTTATAATAAAAGAGAAAAAGGCGAGAACGACGTGGGTCGGACACTTGAAAAATCACTTATCAAGCGCATCACATACAGATTTCCAATAAATGATAGCGTAGCCTCGGTGTAAACCTGTTTTCCCTCCGCCTCATCCTGACGAGCCCCCTCTCACGTTTCGTTAATCCATCATTTCGTGTGAAAACGAAATTTCTACGTGATTCTTATTTTATAATTGAACCGAGGATACACCTCTCCAGAATTACGCGTACGAGCGCGATATCGCGCGGCTGTTCGGAAATCGACAATTCACGGGATCGTGCAAACGTATAGCGGCGCTCTCGCGGATCGTCTTGTTCCCCCGCTGCTCAAAACGTGCGCGGTGAAAAAAGAAAGGGGAAACCGCCGGCAGGGGCGTCTCGTTACGTGGCGTTCGCGTGCGCGAAAACGGCCACGCGTTGTATTGTCGGCGCAAAAAGGAAAAAAGAATCAAACAGTCCTTGGCATAAAAAAAAAAAAAAAAAATAAGGAAAAGAGAGAAAAAAGAAATTTGTGCCTCTCGCGAACAATAACCACCCTGACATTTTGGCGCGAACGTTAATGCGACGAATAGATTACAATAACTCCCAAAAGCATATTTATAAACATTCTTTCGCTCTCCTTCCTCTTCAAGTATATTTGAAAGCCAGGTTACCTCGGTGGAGTCGCGAAAGCGGACGACGTCGGCGACGCGCGGTCGCGCTCGCGCTCGCATTCTCCGCGGGAGACGCGCGGGGTCGGCATGTGAAAATAGTGGAGGGAGTGGACGCGCGGAACGGAACGGAGCAGAGCGGCGTGGTGCGGAGCGGACGATTAGCCAGCGGCAGCGGAGAGACGTTGTCGCGTTGACGTCGTTAACGTCATCGTCGTCGTCGTCGTCGTCAGTAGCAGCGACAGCGGCAAACGAGACGTGCGGTGCTCGAGCAATGCGAGTCCTCGCGAAAATTCGAAGGAACGTGCTGCGACGAGGTCGAAAAATTGACAAAGCGACACGCACGTTAGAACGGTTGACGATGCACGTAACTCCCGACCAATCGCGACGCTCGCGGCCCGTGACGTCGCCGGCTGGACGTCACGCCATTGGCTAGTTCTATTATGGCACGGAAAACACGCCACGCAACCATCTCTATACACATGTTAATTAAATAGGCGCTAGTAACGGAGATAATGGTTCACCGAGACTCTCTCCCTCTCTCTCTCTCTCAGCCGCGCTCGCGCTCTGTCCCTCACTCGTTCTCTCTCCCTCACCCTCGCGCGCGCGGACGTCCCGCTTCGTCCCGCCCTATCACTCTTTCTCTCGAACGGGCGTGGTGGTTCGAGCAAGAGAGAAAGGTATAGAGTCCGAGATAAATAGAGAGATAGAAAGGGTTGTACCTCGGTGAAACTTACAGGTTGAAGCACGTTGTGTCCTGAAGCACGTTCCGGGCACGCACACGTTGGCCAAGTACAACACAAAGAGAGCGGTTCTTCAGGGTCTCTTTAACTCACTTCTGTGCTGAAAAACGATCGCCGATCCCTCTGTCAGCGCGCGTGATCTCCCGGATCGGATGAAAATTCTGCAAAGGCGGTCGACGACGATCGGCGAGTCGACGCGCGAGAGAAATGCCCGCGACCGCAAGTGCGACCGCGCGACGGAGCTGACTGTTTCGGAGCGCGCGGCGAAACGCGGGTTATAACCTGATCGATCTGGCGCGTGGCGGTGGCATTTTACAAGTACTGAAAACCACTGCGCATCAAACTGCCATGCTTGCTCGGCCACGATTCACGTGTCTAGGCACCGTGGCGCGAGCCAATCGTCGCGCAGCTCGTGACGTCACCCGGCTCTATCGACGAATGAACGTGGCCCATGTGACGCAGCAGTCCCGCTGGGCGTGTGAGACGAGGATCGCGGAGCGCCTGCCTTGGCGATGTCGTTCACTCGCTCGTCGTCGCCGTCGCCGCCGCCGTCACCGCCGCCACCGCCACCGCCACCGCCGTCGTCGTCGTCGTCGTCGCGGCGCGCTCGCGCTCGCGCTCGTTGTAATCCACGCGCACTCTCTCCGTTTATCTCAGTTCCTCAGACAGAGTCGCGCGTTTATCTCACCGTGAACGCGACTCGCCGCGCTTTCTGTGCGGAAGGTCCCTCCTGTCCTGCACGTTGCGCGACGACGGAGGTGTACGAGCGTACAGGCACGTACGCGCGATACGCGAGAGAACGACACGCGGAGCACACCCGACACCCGGCTCGCCCGGGCAAACACTCGCGCCTCCGACCGATCGCGGCGGCAGCGGCGTCACCCTCCGCCACCTTTTGTTACGTTCCTTCTCTGTCACATGGATCGACGCCGCGCGCGAGCGCGAATGCGCGCGCTGTTGCCACTTTTACTCGGCCTGCCGGACGGAGCTACGCTCTATTGTTTACTTTCGCCAGTGCGCGCGCGCGCCATGCGCCCACGAGGTCGTGAGTGGTCGCGCGGAGAGGCTGTGACCGCTGCGAAGTGACCGCAACTAACCCGCCAACTGCGGCTGCTAGCGGCTACAGCTGCTAGACTGCTAGAGACACGATCACGTAAAACTTTTTCCTCGGCCTTTTTTTTTACGAAGAAATTCTTTCGAACCCACGTCCTTGCTCGATTTTTGAAAAAGATCGACGATTCGAGCGAGCGCAATTATGTAAAATATAAATTTGTTGCTGGAATTTTTTATAATTTTTATCTCTTCTTTTGTCTTTTTCTCCGATATCTAGATTTATATCTATTTCATGTTTTTTTCTCATACATTTCATCTTTCTTCTTCCTTTCACATTAGACAAAAGGACAAAAGGTGATCAGTGCAAGAAATTCAGTCTTGGAGTATGAAAAAAGAATAGACCTATAGTGTAACTACAAAGAATAGACCTTGACAAAGCAAAGGAATATGAATGGTGTAAAAGTAACACAATGATTATATGTGTTTGAAATACATTATTGTAAAATAAATCTAAAGATAACTATAAATCAAATTGATTTGCTTTAACATGAGATTAAAGACTCGTACTATTAAATACGTTACGGTTGTCTTTACTTGTCTACTTTATATTTTGTTTCATTTGTGTACTAATTTCTTACGGAAATGTATTAACTGTTAAAATATATGTTTTTAAGACAAGTTTATTTGTACAAAAATTGTGACTAGATGTTACATGAAGTATTATATTCTCTATATTAGAATTTACTCTAAAATGAATTTCTGAAATCTTTATAAACATAACAGTAATCTAGAATATTTTTACAATTTCTGCAAAAAATTAAAACATGCTAATATTATACATATTTCATTTTGTATTATATAATAAGTATGTCACAAAGTATTACAGCTATTTGTAGAAATACATTTTTTTAATCACAAATATGTATATTGTTTTGCTTTGAATGGATATATAATATATATACTCTATATATAATATATTAAAGATTTTTAAATAATTTTTTACAAAATAATTACTTTTTTTTATATGAAGTATACTAACGTATGCATATTGTTACATTGTAAAACGTGTAATTTAAAAACATTATCAGAAAGTATATATTTTACATTTTCTGAGTTTAAATTTAAATATTTTACATAAATTTTTTACTATTCTATTTTCAATCAATATAACAATTGGTTATGTTAAAATCAATTATGGCAGATGACTTTATACAAATATAAATTGTAGTATAAATCTGCTCAGTTCCAAGTACTATTTATCCACTATACTTTAATTTCAGAAAAAAATTTCTATCGTGAATATTTTATATTTTGCAAAACTAAGACAGTTACATCTGTCTTTATGAGACATATTTTGTTAGGACCATCGAGATTCCGGTATCAGTAAATTTAACTAAAGCAGTAATAGTTATCTACTTAAATTACTAACATACAGATGCTTCAATTCTGTCTTTGGTGTATTTTCAAAAAGTGCCGCACGATTCTGGCCCTCTCCCTTCTTTACCCAGTGCCCGTAAACACGAAACGCACAGCCATCAATCACCTGAAAACAATTATCAAAAATATTCTTAGCAAACATACTTGATTAGTTTCATATAATTATATTCTTTCAATTTTAAAATATTATAATAATATTAGAAGTTTTAAAATAATGAAACAGAAAAGGACTACGAGCTAAAAGTGTCATTATAATATACAATTGTTAGTAAATAAAAATTGTCATTTAGTTAAAATTATGTAATTTAATTAGAAACAAAGAAATATATGACAAAAAACAACAGACGTTTCAACCTCTGTTAGGTCATTATTAATGTTACAGAATGATCACAAGTTGTCAATAAAGAGGATGATGTACGAAATTATAAAATTATGAAAAAATAAAAAAAAATATATAAAATAATATGTGTACACTCTCACTCGCATAGTTGACGTTGTTTATTTCGGTACATTAGTAAAAGTCCATAAATTAATGTAAATTGTCTGGTTATAAATGTAGTGTGTAAAAGTGTCTAATAATTGTTTCTGTTAAAAATACATTGGTAATGTAAAAAAAATGTGAAAAGAGAGTCAGATAACAAAATAATAAATATAACGTAAAGAGAATCAAATAGTAAGGTAATAAAAATGGATTATGAGATTAGAAGCTTTAAACTTTCATATGAATCGCAAAAACCAAAATTCTACCGATCCCTATACTTTATTATACCAATATTTTGTTCATAATTATTATTTATCATCCTCATTTACACACTTAATTCGTAATATGAATTTTTATCATGGAAGAATTTACCTTCCGCAGAATTTTTATTCTATATGGGTCGATACAAGCTACGTGTGTCGAAAGCGGTTCCGGCGTGATATGAAGTCGTTTAATACGGATTACAGCTCTTACACAAATAATTGCCAATTGAAATCTCTTCCTTGCGTTGAATGATTTCGCCTTCAACTCCTATATAACAAATAAAAGATGCCTGTTAAAGATGCACCAGCTATTCGGCAAACGATAACAAGCTTTCTAAATTAATATTTCTATTCTGACATATGTATAAGTACATGTCAGAAAAAAATATTATTATTTGCTAAATATGTGAAAGATAAAGTTTTTTTTTTTTTGTTAAATACAACGTAATTGAATAGAACGTTCAGTAATTAGAGAAAAAATGTTAATATTAAAATACACATATTCGTATATGCAAAAACATGTGTTTTCACTCTCTCAATGTTAAGTATTAATAAGTTCTTGTATGAAAATGCAATAAGTATATTCAATGTATATGTATACATGTGAATACAAGCACACGCACAAGCTTCATTAATTAGATATACATATAAGTAGCTTAGTTTGCTATTGTCAATTGATTTTCAAACAATTATTAATGTTGCTGCCAATCTTATTTATAAGTTTAATATAATCAAAGAATGCCAACTAAAATAAAATAAATGTTAATTTTTTATTACGTAAAAATGATAAAAATAATCAATAAATTTTACAATTATAATAATAATCAATAAACGTTGCTACCAGACAAAATAAAAAGAAAAGTAAATTAATTACCAAAGCTAATTGAGATATCCTACTCAGACGTCGCGAGTTAGACGATAGAGAACGTTTTAGAGGAGCGATGTCTTGATCCCATAGCTGTAAGGTCAATAACTTATACTTTATGATTATATATCTTTAAAATCTATTAAACTAAAATTTAATCTGTTCCAAGATATTTTAACAACCAAAAATAAAAAACAATAAATAATTTAACACAGACCAAAAAATTAATAATTTTGTACGCAATGTGTACTTGTTTATAAATTCCATATTTGCTAATATACGACAATAAAATATTAAATCTTATGCATATGCATTTCCTTGCTGTGCGTGTTATAATTTTTACAATTAAATATAAAAATACTTGTAATGGGATGTCCAAGGAAAAAAGAAATATTCTTCCTAGGATATCCTGTATTTACATAAGTGTAAATATATATTTGAAATGTGAATAGTGAGCAGAAATAAAGCGAAACTTATTATGAAATTAATTCACAAAATATCGTAGTTTTGCAGTCGAATATAGTGTGCATAAAATATGTATTAGAGTTATTTAAAAAGGTGTATTTATATTTCTTTTTTTATTTTAAAATGGAAGTTATAAATAATAATTTCTCTGATAGTTTAGTATTAAGTACTTACGACAGTGTGAAAGAATGAATGTTCTAACGCATCTTTTATAGAAATTCTTCTCTTGGGATCAACAACTAGCAACTTCCTTATTAAATCTTTTGGAGCTTCTAAAATATATTATAAAAAATATATATATATATTGATATTTTATTTTTTTTATTTATCATTTCTTTGAAATATAATTTTTGACAGTCGTAATTTTTTTTACCTGTTATGTCAGCCCATTCGGGAGAAGTGAATGAATATTTGCCCTCCATTATATTCCTAAGCATAACCATTTGTTTTCGATGCCAAAATGGAGGACAGCCAACTAATAGTGTAAACATAATCACGCCACAAGCCCATCTATTACATCATGAACAAAAATGGAAAATATAATGAAACTTTATATTTCGCAAGAAACTAATTAATATATTTAACCCTACGAGTGAACACATTTTTCGATATTTTTCTAGTGGTTTCTATTATATTTAACACTATTTTCCCTTCGAATAAATATATTTGAAAAAATTTATGGAACAGCTATCCACATTGTACACACCATACATATACACACATATTATATGTATATTGTATGCGTGTGTATATACATATATTAGTCGATGATATATCTTAAGACTTAATAAATATTATTTATTGAATTTTTTAAAATAAACTTTCAATAAAAATAAAGAAAAGAGACAATAAAAAGGCAAAGTTTGTTAAAATTTCTTAAATAATTAACAACACTGTTTTTTTCTTTTTACAAAAAAAGGTTTTTTAGAAAGAAAAGCCAGACAAACAGGAGGTCGGTTGTGTATCTTGGTACCCAATCGTGAAACAAATCGAAATGGATTTCAAACAAAATTATTCTGTTTTCTTTAGAAAACGCAACAGAAATTAAAAAACCCCTTTTACCTTGTTTCAAAATACACAATGGACTTTCCTGGTTTTACAGTAACGAGCAGAAACATCTCGAAATAATTATGTTTTGGACCTTAACGTGTTCACCCGAAGAGTTAAAAATCAATTCATGCATATATATACATGTACATGCGCATATGAGAAATTATATTTTGTAATCATGCGTGTGTTGATGATGTTCACGATAAACTTATTGTGTATCATTTATGTATTATAAGCATGTACTTTTTCAATTCTGAAGAAATCTTACATATCGACTTCAAATCCATAACCATCTGTTTTCTCAAACATATTACACTTTAATACTTCTGGTGCTAGGTAGCCAGGTGTACCACAAAGGTCTGTAAAATACATCAAACATTTAATTGTCTGAACTTATAGTACATGTAAAAAAATGATACAGACCTTCTAATTTTTCTCCATATTTCAATATTTTGGCAAATCCAAAGTCAGTTATCTTCACATTCAAATTATCGTCGAGTAATATATTCTCAGGTTTTAAATCTCTGTGTACTATTCCTTGATTATGTACATGCTGAACTCCTTCGAATACTTGTCTCATGATATAACGTGTTTTCTTTTCAGAAAGTGTCACGACCGACGTGAGATAATCAAATAACTCTCCATTTTTGCACAATTCAAAAATTAAGAATATAAATGTACTAGATTCAAAAACATCATGCAATTCAACTGAAAATAAAAAAGGAAGAAAAATAATTACAATTATAAAATTACGATTTATATTGGACCGTCGATATTCAAAGACAAGTAAATATGATATGTAATCGGCCAAATGACGGTCAAGCAGGATTTTGATTGCTAATGTAATGTGCGAATTTTATTTACCACGTATGTAGTAAAAAAAAAAATTTTAATATGTCTTTCAACATATTATTAAGATCCAATAAGATGCTATAAACATCAAAAATTGTTAGATTGTTTGTCAATTTAACTTAGTGATATTACTACGGTAGTTGTTTAGAGTTGCGTTGTAAGTCTGAAGAATTTTTGATACGCGATTAAGGGGACTACATACGTGGTAAATAAAATTCACACATTACATTATAGCAACCAAAATCCTGCTTGACCGTCATTTGGCCGATTACATATCATATTTACTTGTCTTATAATTATAATTGTTCTATATATATATATATGTGTATGTTATATATATAGTTATTTATTTTTAAATAAAACTACAAGTCTCTCTTACAATTTTTGCCATTTCTAAAGAGAAGTAAAATAGGAAACTTACCGATATATGGATGTCCAGCTACTCTACGAAGTATTTGCACTTCTTGTAGCGTAGCATCCTTCATAGTATGCCCATCCTCATTAGTCTCATTGCTGATGTCTATAATTTTAGCCGCATACTCCATTCCTGTCTCTTTCTCTATGCATCGCCTCACAGTGGAAGATACTCCTCTGAAATACACGTTCACGAAAATTAGTTCCAATCTATCGAAAACAACGTCTATATTTACGATCTGTGCCGAAACTTGTCGAAACTGTGTCGAAATTTATTTTAATTATGTAATGTTATCAACTTGATGGATGATCCACTCTAGCAAATATTTACCCAGATAGCTGGAGCAAATATTTGTTAACGTAGGAGCGAGTCAACAATAATAATAGTATTAAGAAACGCGTTATCCGGAAATGAAACGTGGGGTGACGCACCTTCCTAGGATCTCTTTGGGCTCGTACTTGGCGTAAAATCCCTTCGCCGCGTCCTTGTCCGGCAGCACATCGTCCCCTTCATCCTTCGCCATGATTCGCGTCGTACACCGTCCGTTACGTCGCTCATAAGAGGCACACCGCACTTTTTCACGCGAATCTCAATGGTGCACTCTTCAAAAATAATACACTCCCGAGAAAGATTCAACACGGTCCAAGCAGTCGGGACATACTACCATCGGAGTTTCTGTCACGCGACGGCACTGTCATGTTCCCGTACTCCACTGAAAGACAGTGAGAGTTCATTTCACACACATATGGCTATAAACAGTCTGCATTATACAGATGCTCCACATTGGTGCACTGTAAAGGCTGTTTTATATGAGGTTACCAGTCTGATCGCGGAGTAAAAAAAAAAAAAAGGAAAAGAATCGACCGTCTTCTTCGTTCTCAGAAAGAGATTTCATTTTTATTATCGTTTCTTTATCCAATCTTGTTCGCTGAGTATATTGTGTGAGCAAGGCTCATTTATTTCCATTTCTAATCTTAATTTAATGAAGCATTTAAATTTTCTGATTAAAAGGAATGTTGGAAAACGATATCTTTAGTGCTGTCCTCTACGTCTACTTTTATTATTTGGTATCTCGTGACGAAGTTTGCGTGTAATCTATTATCGGTAAAATATACATTTATCACAAACATATGATAAAATATATACTATAATTAACATTAAACTTAATTTTACAAAAATGAATTGCTATCAATTCTTAAATAAAAAAAAGCATTACCTATACATTTTTTCAAAAATCTATTCTTTGTTAATTTAAATTATTTGATCAAATGATAAACTACATTTTTGTATTTATAAATAGAAATGTTGTGATATATATATGTACAAAAGTATCTACTTAAATCTTTATAAAAAATCCATACGCCATTTCATTAATTTTTTATAAATATTTCAATAAATTATAGGAAAGTATACATTACTTAGCATAATTTACAACAATGATGAATATCAAGTTTCAATTATTTATGAAACTTGACTACTACACATAATTATACATTTTGACATATATATTATAATTAATTAAAAGTTTATCTTTTTATTCAATGTTATTCTTAAAATAAGATTATGATAATAAGAAATTACATTCGAAGAATGTATTATTCTTAAAAAAGCAAAAGGAGTACATATTTAAAATATTTAATATGATGAATTCAAATACAATCACATATGTCATTTTTTTACGAAACTTTACGCGTTTTACAATAAGATGATCAATAATAACTATTTCTATTATCCTTAAGATGGTATAATACAGTAAATAACACAAGTTAGTACTGTTTAGTAAAAAAAAAATAGTTAGTACTGTTTGAAAAAAAAAAATACATTAGTAGAAAAGTAAATGGTCTGCAAATTTTTGGCATAGACGTAACTTAATCGTGGACTCGGTAGAGAAAGCGCCATGCATGTTTTAAATAGACGAGGCAATGGGAAAGCATTCGCTTTTATGGTTGACTGTACGGTCGCGCCGTGTGCGCGGCATGCCAACTTCCATTGGAAATTTCCATTCGAAATACACAGTCGGTCGCCGTCGTCTTGTAGGTAGCTCGGTAGAGGAGACATTTCGTAGCCGCAACATCTAAAAAGATTGCGAACGTTGCGAACGAACTACAAGTGCCATGTGACATTAATCCTGTCGCGGTCGCGCGAAATAACGAGGAGGATGGGAA